GTCATGTAATCTACATTATACACACAACTTATTTATTGAGCTAATATTAAGACAAGAATTTTCCAAAATATCTACTAACTACTACGTATCTACTATCAATACTTTATATGAGTATTTTTAATGAATAAATAAAAATTCATATTAGAAGTAAATGTAAATGAGATAGCTTGAGTTACTTTCGAAGTACGAAATCATAATTCTTTGCCAACAATACTAAGTCTTTTTTATGGAAGTCAATTGAAGTAGAAGAAGAAATTTGTTGGTTTACCAAATTAGTTCTTTCTAACCAAAAACCAAAAACCAATTCAAATATTTAAAATACTTTAATCCTCAACTTTTTTAAAATGTAGCAAAAGTCGAATAATAGGAATTCGTATTGCTTTAATTAACCTAAAAAGTGAAGGGAAAAAATTTTGGAGCAAAACCTTGGCAAGGTTTTAACTTTAAATTGTTGTTATGTTAATGAACAAGCCTTAATTTGAAAATGCCTTTAAGGCACACGTTCTTCGCATTTGTTGCTGGTATTTGGAGCAGCAAACGGCAGTCCTGGCTGACGCCACTAGGTGGGCTTTGGAAGGACATTTTGGTTATGCTTCGTTCTTCGGAATATTGTTTTATATTTTCAACAAAATTTTCAACCAAATTTGCAGCTAATTAACTTCACAGCGAGTGGCACGTTATCGGAGCGCATTTTAATGTTGTTATTTAAATTTTTGACACTTTGCGCTCAGAATCCTGGCAAAATTAATGTCCTCATAAATCAACTACCGGTAATTTTTTGTAATATATAATAGCAGCATTTTAATAAGAATTTAATGAGTTGACAGAATTAAGAATATTATATTGTACTTTCGCATTCTTAGCAAAGTATTCAAGTGATGTGGTATTAAAAATATTTTAATTGCAGACCAGTCCACTACACTCAATAAATATGTAATATTGATTTTTCATATTAAATGCAATACAAATATATAAGGGTTATATCTGACCGGGCACAATTTTTGGAATATAAATGAGCCTAGCTTTCTGGAAGATGGACTGCCACGTACACCCACGTGTAAATCTCCAGTGTTAAAAAAAGACGATTAAGTATAATGAAATCAACGACATATACGTTGTCGACATATAATTGAGACTTTCAATTTCGAGGTCTACAAACAATATAACATATAATTAAGTTTCGTTATATATAATACGCACTTTACTATAGAATTGGTAACCTTTAATAAAGATATATTGATATTTATATTGATACAAAAAGGATAAGATATCAGAGTTTGAATGCATTGATACTGTCGAAAAGGCACATATTTGCCTATGCCCAACAACTTTTCAGAGTAGCTACGAAACTACTAGACACTCTTTTTCCGAGAAATGCAGAGTTTAATGGAGAAACCCACAGTGCTAGATTTTAATGCATTAAGACTATCTAAGGTAGGAGAAATGAAGATTCCGACCATGGACCGTGCCTTAGAGTGTGTGGGTTAGAGTGGTAATAACCCCAATATAATAATCGAGAGCAAAAATAAAAACTTATTTCAATATTAACAAAATTTATGTGAAGTAAAACGCGCGGATGTGTAGAAAATTTATATAATAACTGAGGACCACGCTAGGGATTTTGGCCCTTGAAGAGAAAGGGTAAAATAAATAGATTGTGTCTTGATGAAGTCTTATGAATATATATTAAACAATCCAACCGTTAAGTTGTGTAGGACGGAGTGTTAAAAAGCTAAATTTAGTGATTAAAAGGAAAACTCAAATGAATTGAAGGCAACCAACGAAGACGGTATTGTAAAGCGTAACGTAATTGAAATTCACATGTTAGAGTTTAGAGGGAAATTCTGAAAGATATAGACTGCAAGTTATCAAAGTAGTGTGAAATAAAACTCAGGGAGCAATGGCTAAGATCAAACAATCAATAAGGATACCAGTTCTTGGACGGTTTAGCTTAAAATGCTAACAACCTCAGTTCACTAATAAAAAGTAAAAGAAGAAGTTAATAAGAGTAATATTTTTCAATTGAAATTTATATAAGATTAAACACGAATACGATGGTGAAAAAAGATCCATTGAATATCATATGGAGCAATGAGAATGGATTGCAACTTCTATTCCATAAAATATTTCAAATCAGAAAATATTCAAATCTTGAAGGATTAGTATTAGTGTAATGAAAGTTAGAAAAAAATCATGTAGCCCTTGTTAAGAACGTAAGCACAAGGCTTATATATATACAATACTTTGATTTAGCTTAGAAATATTTCGGGGTGTATTTTTCTTTAAACATAAAGCTTGGTAGCGTCCGAAGATATTCAATCGTAAATTTATAGCTAATATTATAGGTTATTTTGATCACAAATTCATGAAAGCGAAGTTGAAAATAGACTCTTTTGGAATATTAAATATATAATTAGAAATTATATATATTTATATTATATATATAATTTAAAAATTATACGATGATATAATAAAAATTTTATAAAATAATATGAATTAACACACTCAATACTTTAATTGGTTTTAAATTTTATTCCAAGAATTCTGATGTTATGTGAAGCGTTTATTTAACCGCGTGTATTACTTACTCTTGTGTTAGAATTTTTTACGGGTCTTCTATTAGCCGATCCATTGTTTGGACGTCTATTTGGTTTACGGCCACGTCGGCCACCTCTACCTGGTCTGCCTTTACGTCCGCGTGGTTTATCATTTGGTTTCTTTGGTTTTTTTGTTTTCTTGGTAGGAGTTTTTTTAGTTGTCGTAGTGGCAGCAGCTGTTGTAGTGTCCTCGGCTGGACTTGCTGTTGTATCACTTGCTGCGCTAGTGTCTTCTGCTGGACTTGCAGTTGTATCGGTTGCTGCTGTTGTGTCAGCAGCTGCGGTTGTTGTATCTGTAGATGCTGCAGTTGTGGTATCCGCGGATGCAGTTGTTGTATCCGTTGACGCTGTAGTAGTATCTTGACCATGCACAGTTGCAGCTATTAGAGCTACAGTAGCCAATAATGTAAAGAATTTCATTTTTATTTCAGTGTAAGTTAATTCCAGGCAATTTTAATTCTGATAACAATGCTTGGATTCTGATGTATTTATAGGTGGAAATTCTATGTATTTTAATTAAAATAAATAATTGTATTATGTTAAAATAATTGACAGTACATAAATAAATAAGTAGTTTATGTATAACAAAATATTTTTTTTTGTACTTAATCAACTAAAGGCAATTACTTTTTATTGTAAATGAAATATTTGAATAGGTGTTTTTTGAAGTCTGGGAAAAACATACTTTACAAGCAGAATCTAGAAGCAAAGAAGTGATATAACCTTTCATAACCAAATATGCTTTGTAAATAGAATACGTGTGAGTTGGTATAATAGTGACAAATGAAGGATTACATAACTTTTATAATGAGGTGAATTACCTATGCATTTAAATTGTTGGTTTATTTTAGACAATAACGAAAGAAATATATTGGATCCACAGAAGAGTTCATGGTTTTTTTATATAGCACAAATGTTAATTTGTATAGCGGAAGTTCCCTAGATTAATATTTTGCTAATATATATATATTATATATATATATATATATATATATATATATATATATATATTATATATATATATATATATATATATTTTATAATGTATATATATATATAAAATTGTGCTGCTTTACTGTAATTTAACTAAACAGATCATATTACACATACTAGTATATATAAATCCATATATTAGTATACAGTAATAATATATAAAAATTTATATACTAATATATACTAGTAAATGATAATCCCATATACTAGTATATACTAGCATTTATACCTAGCATTCAATTTAGTACATCATACTGCCGATCCTTGAATTTGAATGAGTAAGAATGAATGAGTAAGAGTTACGACATATATAGATGTTCTCGACAGACGAATGCTGTTATTGATTATCTCCCGTAGCTTCAGCTATTAGCTTGATCAGCACCTTACTTCTGTCACTTATGGTATTAGATAAATAAGAAAAAAGTGCCAACTAACAGCAACAAAAATATTTCTTACATTTAAATTAAAATGTGTTTAATCTAAATGTAAAACGATCTATTTGTTAATATTATATGTTCTATCAATGCGTAGCGTCTTAATATTTGCAGTTATAAACAAATTTTTATTTAGCTTTATATCTAATATAAAAAATATATTTGTCTAAGCCAAAAAGTAAAGAAGCAATAATAATAATATAAGATTTCTTGGAGCCGCAAAGTATGCATATGTAATTAAAAATACTTACGAAGATAGTATTTGAGAGTTATTATATTAAAAATTCTTCTCACGTTTTTAAATTGAAAAAAAGTTATAGTACTTTAAGTGAATGTTTAATATACTTATATACAATTTTAAAGCCAATTAAATCCTAAATTTTAGAAGGCCGTTTCGCACATTACATTTAAGCTAAGCTTAAAAGTATACAAAAACGTACTATAAATAAATTTAGTACGATTAGCAAAATTTTGATATTTCATCTATTTCTTGTATTTTTAAAAGTCAATTTTTATAATATTATATTTATAATATTGATTATCTTTGCATAACGGAAAATGCAAAGAAGAGGCGTTTTAGCATAAAATATGACAATGACACTAAATTAATTTCTTGAAAATTTGAATAATAAAAATCTTCTTCACGTCCCTATATATAATATATAATCAGCACATATATATTATAACTCGGCATTTCATCATAGTACTTTCCCATTATATTGTCCTGAATTAGTCAGGATTCAAGAATAATTAACAAAAAAAAGTCATAAATATATTTTAGTCTGCACATAAGGTTCTAACAACATTGAGAATATATTGAGAAATTCATATAATTTTTATTTCAGTAATTTATTCCACTTCAAAAGATGATATTTGCAAAAATATTTACCTAATTTCCGTATTTCACATAAAATATATTTATGAAAAATGTACATTTCAATGAAATATTGTGCTCAAAAACCGTTTTAATTAACATTTATCCATTGAGTGGCCTAATGTTTGATGGCCTGAGAATTGGTCGGCGAATAGGTCTTCTAATGGGTCGTCTTAGTGGTCGACGTATTGGTCTTCGTATAGGTCTGCGAATGGGTCTCCTTGTTGGTCTTCGTACTCTTCTCGTTGTCCTTCTAGTTGTACTTTTACGTGTTGTTTTTCTAGTTGTAGGACTTACCGTTGTACTGGGAGCTGTTGTTGAATTTGGATCAGCAGTAGTAGCATTGGGATCGGAAGTTGTTGCATTTGGATCAGCGGTAGTAGTATTGGGTCCTGTAGTAGTGGTACCTGGATCTGCGGTAGTGGCATTTGGATCAGCAGTCGTTGCATTTGGATCAACAGTTGTTGCATTTGGATCAGCAGTCGTATCATTGGGATCAGCAGTTGTTGCATTTGAGTCAACTGTAGTGACCTGTCCGTTAACTGCAATAGATGCTAATACAACGAAGAAGAGGAAAGTCCTTAACAAATTTATATTCATATTAAATAAAAGTTTTATGTCGGTATTATTTCAAAATTGTTATTTGAAAACTGAATATCGCAAAAACTTTGGACGCAGTATTTATATCAAAATTATAAGCAATCATAAGCATTCAGAATGTGGAAATCTATAATATAAACAGGTGCTTCTTTTGTTATGTTTTAGCGGACTGAAACTTTCCAATGTTTTTAAAATAAATGTTGAATTCTCCACAACTGTTTTTGACGTAAACTAAAAGCAATTAAAAATAAACATTAAATTTTAGTTCTTAAAATATGACTTCTCTTAACAATGTTAGAAGCTTACCGCGATCAATTATGGGAAAAGTTTGAAACTAATATACATTGTTCTGATATTCTTTATATAATAGTTTTTACATCAGGATCTACATAAAGTCCTTACTCCAGTTGGTATCGTTCGAGACCAGTACATCTATGTGTTTCTTACTATCAATCAGATTTGCCAAACTTTGTCCATATGAGGACCTTTTGTATAATCGGGTTGCTCTTTGAACTGTCTATCCTCACTTACATTCTAGCATTTGAGATCATATGCTTTAGTGTTATGTATGATCAGATGAATTGAATACTTGATATTTATCCCGACTATGTTGATTTTTTTCTTGGAATAAAAATAATGCTCTTATATGTTGTAATGCATGATATTGGACACGATATATAAGTTTATAGGGTGAATAGAGCTTTGGATAATAGTTTGTATGTCAGTGAAACAGTACCTCAAAAGCAGAGTCACGATTTGGATAACTACTTACACCTCAAAAGTGGTTTCTTCAGTTTTTGAGTGTAATTTGTATTTAAAGATTTTTAATTTACAGGCGGAGATGAATTAGTGATTTTTATTTCGAGGATCTAGCATTACCATTGCTATTGTTGATCACTAGAATTAAATTTTTCATTTTGTTGTCTAATTTTATCGAGTTAAATATATATTTGGGTTGATTAAAAAATCATAAGCATTATTTTGTTTTTAGCATCAAAATGCAAAAATTGTGTACTCAACAATGCACGGAAAATCTGTAATTATAACGTTGCTATCTTCTGAACTTTGCAAGATTTGTAGCCATAAAGTTCTTAAACTGAATAGACCATCATATACTAAACTGCCAATAGTAAATAAATTATTGTAAACTAAACCTTTGTATCCTTACTATAGATTTCCAATATAACCACAGATAAGAGTAATGAGTTCTTCACTAAGAAAAATATTACATACGGTAATTTTAGTAAACGATGTTGACGATTTTTTTAGTCGAAACCAAATATAATCACAATTTTTTATTCATATTATTTTTTTTTATTTTTAACCTTTATGAAGCTTTCAAATCAGATATTATAGAAAATGTTTAACCATTACGATTTGGTCTTCTGTTCGATCCGCGGTTAGGTCTGCGACCTGGTCTACGATTGGGACGACGATTTGGCCTCCTATTAGGTCTACGATTTGGACGACGGTTTGGACGACGATTTGGTCTTCTGCGAGTTGTTCTTCTGACAGGTCGACGTTTAGTTGTTCTGCGAGTTTTTTTTGTGGTATTTGCTGCTTTTGTAGTAGTTTGTGTTGCTCCAGAAACTGTTGTTGTAACAGTAGGGGCAGCTGTAGGGGCAGCTGTTGATGGACTCGGTGCAGACGTTGGATTTACATTAGGAACTGCTGTCGTTGTCACACCTGGCGCTACAGTTGTTGTACCTGTTGCAGGAGCTGCTGTTGTTCCAGCAGGATTTGCAGTTGTTCCAGCAGGATCTGCTGTAGTCCCAGCAGGATCTGCTGTAGTCCCTGCAGGATCCGCTGTAGTTTGTGAATGAACTCCACAAACGAAAAGCAATGCCATAAAGGCCACAAATATTTCCTTGCCGTTCATTTCTATTACTTTTGAGCTGAACTATCACGAGTAATGTCAGTTAACTTTGGAAAACTGCTATTTATATGAACGATTTGATAATCAAATGATATCCATGGTATTAGAATATATTCATTTTCTATTTGGAAAGTCAATAAGCTTCAAAGAAAATTGATGTGCTTTTGAAATTCTAACAATGCAAGAATGTGAACAAGTGTTCTGATTGTTAATGATTGTTAAAATTCGTACGTAGTTTCCTTTGTCTAATATATGAATAGAAGTCGTATGGTTGTATATTTATTAACTTCACTTATTTCATAAGACAATCAGTAGTTTTATTATTATCGCTTTATATCTGTAGAGAATGTTTTTGTGCCGATTCCTAATAGTTCCAAGTAACATTTTTAGATTTAGATACCTTACCTTAAATATTAATAATAATAGTAGTTTTTGTGGTTTCTTGTGACGCATTAAATAACTTTTATGTAACTATTTGTTATAAGTTCAACGTAGTAGTCTCTGAGTACCAACACAATCTTATGTTTATGATTTTAATGGCGTTTGAAGCAGTAGAATGCAGTAGAGAGTGCCGCGGCTAGAAATATGAAAAATATGAAATATGTAATATGACGTCAGATTGCAAGTACTAACAGAAAGCAGGTAAAGGAAAGTGCATGAGTTAATTATATAGAATATCTTTATAAAACAGTGCATACAAACATATATTTTTTTGTAATTAAACTTAAATCCGTTTCGCACGGAGTTTTCTATTGAGTTTATCGAAGCAGATGAATCAATCTCATTATTGATCCAGAATACTGATTATTCAATAATTTTGATATTTTAATTAACTTCGAGAATGCTTTCACATGCTGAAGCAACTGACATGGAAAACAAGGTCGCTGGTAGGCTATATGCCTGGTTACATAGGAATTGTAATCGATTATGTAAAACACCGGCCTATTATTTCATTGACAATTTATTTACTATGTATATATATTATTTTACAATCAATTTGTTAATGTTTATATTAAAATCGACGCGCAACGTGTTCCATATTTGTGTACTTTCGATCCGTTTCTACTTTGTACTGTTATTCATATCAACTGTCATGCTGCCTCGCAGGGCTACATCCAGCTCCGTGTTGCTAAGTGTTGCTTTTTCTGTTACAGGAATCAATGGCAATAAATCAGCAAATAATGTAACAATATATTGCTATATAACTATATAGTCCAGAATCTTATTGTAAAATTAGTTGGTTCACAATGAGGTTTTAAACATATAAATATTTTGTTTCCGAAGAAAGTTATAAATAACGTATTACTGTAGGTAACCGCTAGACTTAAAAGCTGGTTCATTTGTTTAACAACAAAAAGAGTAGAATAGAATAGTAGAGGTTGTTTTTAGGATTTCTGATGGAGACTCATTTCTGAGAAAACATTATTATTGATTGCACTTTTAGGGCTCCAGTCCAAATCTCTGGGGCTGTCCTCATTGATCTGAGTCCAACAGAGTATCAATTGACTGAAAGTTCCATTTTACTATTCATTAGAAGGATGGACACTCTTCTATTTAGTTAGGATCAGATAGTAGTTCAAAAAATTAGTGAAAGTTACAGTGCTCCGCGTTACTGAAAGCCATCACTTCGTATAAATAAATGTCAGAATCATGTTTATATCCACTTCAGACACAAGATTTTTGAATAAATATAAAGCTTTTGTTTTTGTTGTAAACTAAATCATTTGTTTAAATAATTAAATTTTATATGGCACGTGGAATGATTTTTGTAGTTATCACTATAAAAAATTTTTTATTTATTTTTACAAGTCGTCATTTGTCGAAAGTGTACATTAATTTTTATTTTTACAGTCAGAAAAATATTACAACAGTTTTGTTGTTTGTACAAATTGAGTACTTAATAATAATTATCTTAAGCAATTGCTAAGATTTAAAGATTAGAAAAAAAATTTATTCAACATGTAATGAATTGTAGAAGAAAATATATTTAACAAGATTGAAACTTAATTTGGGTACAGAAAACATTAAAAAAAGCTGAATATTTCTATGTCCAAATATAACTAATCTTTGGTAGTATCAGTTTTAATCCAATTTTTATAAAATTACATAGAGCATGACTCCTTACATACATACAGCAAAGAGATTATGTAAAGTTTTTTAAAATAGTTGCAAAGATACAGCTTTATGGATCGCAAATTTTATAAAAAAAACAATAACCTAATTAATGTTTATCAGGCTAGAGTTTATTCCTAAAAAGATACCAACGCCAATTTATTGATAATTATTCATAGATGCTTACTATTTGAAGGGATGATTCCTCGAACCTCATGAAAGTAGTAGTATGCACCTTGAATAAAAGTGAAGATGATTCCTTCTCCTGACTATGATGAAGGAAAATTTTCGATAAGCTAACTCATACGAAACAAGGTTGCAGGTGTCGGTGATTTATCAGCTGAGCTGTTCACAATGTCTTAAGTAGTTAGGAAGACCAATGATAAATTGATACAAACCAACTTTCTGTCGACTGAAACGCTGGTATACCAGCAAAACTTATACGGCTATATAAAATGGCATTGCAAACCACTAACAGATCTGTTTAAACTCGGAAGGATTTAAGATATGACAGGTTAACTGCATGCCTTATTACTTCTCTAATGTGATGTTTAAAACAATATCAACAATTTCAATACAATATAAACAGCATAGATATAATATTCTTAAAATGTAGTATGCTTGCAAATGCTGATGATATTGATGTTGTCAATAGCGGGTTTAAAGATCCTTGATGTTTGTGAGGCTTTTTACAACTTAAAAAAAAGAGAAACTTATGGGAACTGTAACAATTGATAGCAAAATATTTTGAACATTTGATAACTTTTGATATCTTCCTTCATAGTTGTAAAAGATTTTGTTTGTTTGACAAATTCAAAGTAAGAATATCATTAGCCTAGAGATTTCACGATGAATTAGTCTTGCCAATAGATGCTACGTTGGGGTTAGTAGGCATTAAAAAATTGAAATCCTCTCTTAAATAACAAAATCAGGCGCAACAAATCTCTAATCACAAAATCACAATATTTCTAGCTGGACGATCCAGCTTAGGCAACTATCAACAGTAATGAGAAGGTATAATACTGAGAATGCATGGAAAAAATGCAAAGAAAAATTTTTTTGTGAGATCTGAGGTTTTGAATGCGTTGGTGATAAATAATATAATATTAGATAAAAAGTGAAACGTTGTATGAGATATATCACGATGTTAACATACTTATACAATTGGTATTTACAGTAGTATTTAGTTCCTGCTTCAAAACCTTGTTCAAAAGCCAGTTGATGCTACCAAGTCTCTTCAAATCATTACTTAATTGGTTCTTCCACCGAAGTTGCGGTTGTCTTCTATTGCAAAGTAAGAAATTAGTGTAGATGTGGATTGTAGCATATTGTATATAGCATTTTTTTTTTGATTATCTGCCAACAGTTAGTAATTTCTCTATTTCATTCGGTAATCAGTTTATATCATTTTATATAGTTGTTACGATAACACTTAATGAAATCATTTCCTGTAGGAGATTAAAAAATTTCGAGGCTATTAAAATGATTCAAATTTTTATTAAAAGTTTCAAATTCACAAAGTTTGTACTTAAGAATTTTTTTAAATTTTACACTTTTCATTAATCATTTAAAACTATTTATTTTTTCCTGCGGTTTATTGGGGACCTTAGATTCCTTCTTTAATGGTGACACATTTTTTAACCTCTATTGTTGGGTCTTCTATTGTTGGGTCTTCTATTGGGTCTTCTATTAGGTCTTCTGTTAGGTCTTCTGTTGGGTCTTCTATTGGGTCTACGTCTTCTAGTAGTTCTCCTCCTTCTAGTAGTTCTTCTGGTTGGTCGTCTTCTAGTAGTCCTTCTCCTTGTTGTTCTGGCAGTTGAAGCGGCTACTGTCGTAGTGTCAGCACTTGCAGCGGTAGTTGAAGCCGATGCAACTGTGGTAGTAGCGGACGATGCAACAGTAGTTGTGGCAGAAGATGCAACAGTAGTAGTGGCAGTAGATGCGACAGTTGTAGTATCAGTGGAAGCGACAGTTGTAGTATCGGTGGAAGCAACAGTTGTAGTATCCGTGGATGCTACAGTTGTTGTATCCTGCGCAGATGCAAGCGCAAATACAGCAATAAAGCCAAGAACTGCATATAAAATCCTGAACTTCATAGTCAATCCAAATATGATATTATTGTTTAAGACGATTGAACAATAGATGATGTCTGTTATATTGATTAACTGCGAGCCGTATTTATACCAATTTCTTGCCAAAAACTTTTGCTACTTTTAGTATAACGAAAAAAGAATTATATTAATATAAAGTACAAACAAAGCAAAACAATTACTTTTATTTTGGAATGTTTTATTTCTACCATTATTTTATTTCTAGCAAATAACCACTTGATTAAATAAAAACGTAAAGATTCTCGAACACATATCTTTGTTTTAAACCAATAGAATGAATTGTTTTTTATACTTTCATTTTTGTTATTATTATAAAAATATTCTGAATATAGTCTTTCTAAATTTGCGTTAGAAGAAAGAAAATATAATAAATTTATTAACAGAATATTTGGCTTTAGTTTTCCGCATATTGGATATACCCACTCAAACGAAAAATGCACCAACAAATATAATGTCATAACATATATGCAGATGAAGACATGAGATATATGTCTAATATTATTAGATATAACTTCTATAATTTGGTCCTTCGCTATATTTATAATTAATTCTGTTCTATTAGAGCATGGGGTTATGGAAATATTTTGTCGAAATATATTAAAATTTTTTTTATTTTAAATTTCAAAGATAATTACTATGTACATGAGCATTAATGGGGCACATTATTCGATTTTATATATTATATTATTTTTGTTTAAAATTAAGAAGAAAATTACTTATATATTTTCTTTTTCTGTTTTCAGATTTGTTCATTCTGGAATGCCAAGAAGAAATTTATAAGACTGACAAGTACCAAACCGCGCAGATAAAAAACTTTTCTTTAAAATTAGTTTTTAAGCTGCACTCAGTAGTTTTGCCTCGATTCCTTTAAAAGAATTACCAGAGCACTTGTTGCATACAATGCGCTTGTCGAAACTTTCATATCATAAAAACATTAAAAATGGTACACAAAAGTTCGACTCTCAACAACAGCAACATCAGCAACTACAACAGCAGCAACAACATGAAACTGCAACAAAATATCAATTTATTATGGGAAAGGTTGTAAAGGCACAAAGTGTATCATTGAGCTATAAAATTTGTGCAAACTATATTGATTATTAATGCATTATTTATATAATATGTATCATTCTCTGACGTTCCTATTGTATTTCTTAACAATTATCGAATTATATGATTAAATTGTGAATAATATTTTATATTTGTTAATTTTTTCATGCAGCGCTTTAGCGTTACTCACAGCAATTACAGCAATAATAGTGGAAGCGCACGTGGCAGTGGTAGCGAGTTTGGCAGCGGTGGCGCTCCTACAAATCGTAACAGTATTGGCAACGGCAGCTGTGTGTCGTCTACAACGACCTCAACATCAGCCAAGCGACGAAAATCCAAACAAACAAAGTGCTTCAGTAGCACAGTGTTTCGTTGTTGTTTACCTTGTCGCGGGGGCGGCTCAGCAGCCCCCGCTACAAGTCCGCCACAATCACCCGTACCAACACCGGACGAAGTGAATAACCAAGTGCACGGACTAACGCAACAATATCAAAACCAACAGCAAAACGATAAAGATAATAAGCATTTAAAGGAAGCAACTTCATTTGAAGAAGTGAATATTATAACTGTGAAAAAGCATTCAATCGCTGATACTATCGCAACCTCGGCCACAACGCCAATTTCATTGAAAACTCTTATAAACGACGTGGACGAGGATTACGAGCAACAATTGAGTGCAGCCGACATAGCAGCAGCGACATTAGCGACTGGCATTTTGGCACGTAAAGCAGAACCGGAAACTCTAAGTGACGCAAGCGTTTCACCAACGGCAGCTGTACTACAAGCCGCAGCAATTGGTTCAGTATCAACAACTTCATTGCTATCCACTACGACATCCCTTTTGTCTACCGTGGCAACAACACAAGTTTCACCTACAACACCAACAACAGCAACAACTGCATTAAGTTTCGCAACAGCACCCACATCCGCAACTGTTGCGGCCACCACACAAACTCCGGTCGCCAGCACAGTGCAGCGTTGCTGCTGTCAACAACAAACCTCTCCTTTGCCACACATCAAAGAGGAAGAAGAATCCGAACAACATCAACAATTTCTCAATAATCAACAAAAACTTTTACGTGCCGATTCCGATCAGCAATTGTTGTTAGTAACTACTACTACAAGCTACAGTGATAGTAGCGATAGTGCGTTACACTCAACGTGCAACACTTGCTCAGCAGCTGCTGGTCCAACATCAGCTACAAGCTGTGTACAAGACTGCACAACCTCAACACCCTCACCTCGTATAAAGCACAAATTTCGAAAACAGCACAAGTCCGGCTGGTCACGTATTGTAATCACTCCAGGTGCTGGTGTTGGTCTCGGAGCTACAACTTCGAACGAAACTCTTGCCTCTAGTGGCAGCAATACTAATACCAATACCAATAGTAGCAGTGCTACTGCTGCCCACCGACTTGCTTCGTCTTCTGCATCAGCTCTAGCGCCCTACGGCAGTACTCAACTATTACCAGCTAAGATGCAAGCTGAACAGGGATCCATCGGTGATCTGCAGAAGTATCACAGCCGATACTTGAAAAATCGCAGGCATACTTTAGCAAATGTTCGGTAAGTTTTATAAATCTTTTATAAATTTAATTGCATAAAAATGTTTACTAGATAAGTAATCAGAATTGAATAGAACATAATAGGATTCTGGATTTATAAAAAGACGCTCTGACTAACGTAGATATCGTGTGGTACCAATCGAATCTAATAAAACAGAAAATATTCATGACTTTCTAAAAAGGTCACAATATTCTTCTTCCTACTGCAATAGATGAAGATTTTTAGTTGTAAACAGAGATAGGAGCTTTTAACCCTACCTTACAAACCCTATACACTAAGGTTGATTATCTAGTATCTAATAATTTTGCCTGGGTAAACGAGAGAAACAGTATCATAAGACTTAATATTTAAATACATTCTTACTTGGTATATACGCATATATAATCAGGAAATAGTTTCCATAGATGATCTCGAAAAAACAATTTAAAGTCAATTGAAAGGCATTGATTGGTTTCTATATGGAATATGTATGTCATTATCTTTTTACTTCATGTTAAAGTTCAGTTAATTTGTTTTCTAATTGCTTACGTTAATTTTTTTATTAGGTAAAAGCTTAATTTAGAATTTCTTAGAAACTAATTTTATAAATTACAAATATTAAATTAGTAGATATTAAAAGTCGTTCAAATAGTAGTTTAAAATTTGACGTCAAAAATTTCAAGTTCTTAACCGAAGAACGTCATTCTCTAGTAGTAATATGAATATTTGTACAAATGTGTCGCAAAAAGTATGGACTACGTAGATAGACATTTCTAAACAAAATTTTACAGTTTCTTTTGTTTAATATTCTAAATAATTAAAACATAACAATTGTCATAATAAAAATGCTAGTAATTATTTAAAATAAAGTATTAAAAATAGATCGAAACTCATTAATGAAGTGCTCTGCCTTAAATTAACTTTTCTAACTTTTCTTAAGTCTTACTTACTTAAATTCAATTTCAAACTTAAATATTTACAAAAAAAGTGGCAACTCCTTTTATAGGCAATAAAGATAATTAAAAGAAAGCAAAGCTTAAGATTGTATTAGATTATAATATATCCATCATCAGCGGACTTTGGAAAGATTTGTTAATTTCGATATTTTGTATGTGCATATAAATAGAGTCTGTCTTTAAGAGTCTGGTTTCTGATTTCACTAAGGTCAGACCAAAAAATCCTCTCCAAAAAATTCTTAAGAAAAAAAATGAAAAATTCGTATTAGCTGTGTTTCAAGAATAGCCGATCAAGCAGTCCTTAAATACGAAAAAATTTCTGCTATTAAATCTATATAAAGGTTTAACTCTATCTGGTGAACAACAGTTTCATTGGCTTACAGTCAATCAGTTTAACGTTGCCTATCATATTTGTTTGTATGTAGTTTCATATTAGAAAGGATGGATAAGAAACTCTGTTAAATATATAAAGCAAGTGAGTAGAAATCCTATCTTGATCAGTACTTGGCGTTATTAGAAACAATCATACAAATAATTGATTTGATTAAAAATTAATTTTTGTTTGTTAAATTTCCTTATTCCATACGTACCTTATTTCTTATTTAAAACAAATACGCCTACAAATTTACTATATATAAAAAAGTTCAATGTTTATAATTAGTATCAGTTTCAGAAAAAATAGTAGAAGTATCAGAAAAATAAACTAAAGAATGGAAAATATTAGAAAAGTATCTTTTAATTATATAGTTATGTAGAAATAAACTATATAAAATAAATCAAAAATAAAAACTTTATATATTGGCTTTTATTTAAGTTCAAACTGCTTTGAAAAACTTACCATATACGCACAGTGAAACCGATGCACAACGTAATGAACGTTCAGAAATGTTAGCTGGTAACTTACAAAATTAACAACCCAATGAAGGAGTTGGATGTGAAAGATGAACTCGCATCGATCAAGACAATATGCTATTATTTATCGTAAGAGAATATCACTTGATATTGATGATCTTGAGTTCAGTTTCAAAAAAAGTATCTAAAGATGTACAAATATATCCAGTGATATGTAATTTGAGTATCTAACTATATTAACATATAAAGTTAATAGAGTTTTCTTTCCATTGTTTTGTGCGATAAAGAAAATAGTATTTGTATAATTTACATCTCATTTATTTATTTATTTATTGTTTTTATTTTGTTTTTGTTTTTTCATTACTGAAAAACTCGTTGCCCTATTCAAATTTACATATGTCTTGACAATTAAGTGTGCCTTCAAATTAATCCATTCATTCATTAAACCTTCAAATTAGTGATTGTGTACTCAGAATGAACCTTTTATTTTTATAATTGTTTTTATTTCATATCATTTTATTTATATTATTTGTTTTTGTTTTTTTTTTTCTTTTGGAAAAAGAAGAAGGTTGTTGCTCTGTGGCAGTTATTTTTGTGCAATTTTTGAATTTAGCACAACATAAAATGCTAAATTAAAGCACATAAAGGCTTTACTTTAGCTACTTTCAAACATTTTCAAACTAATTTTCTGCATGCGTGACTTTTTATTTGGTTGTTGGTGTTGTTGTTGTTTGTTTATGCCAACAACGTTGTTGCCAAGGATACATACGTGTGCCTCTAGGTACAGGACATGCAGTTAAGTGTATGTGTGTGTGTGTAAATATTTAATTTGTTTATTGTTTTTTTCTGTTTTCGTGTTTTGTTTACAGAAATGTCTCACAGGACCACTTTAGTTGATGGGTTGGTACGTCTTATTACTTAATTCAGACACGCAATGAAATTCTCCTCTTCATACTGCAATAGACAAATAAAAACAAATTATTTCACTTTATGACTGCAGGCGCTGATAAAAAGTCGGGTGGTTTGAGATAGATAATTGCTTGCTATTAAGCGTTTTATTATACTTTCAGTTTATTTAATTAATTCGAAAAATTAATTTAGGTTATATCCCTTGTATTCTTATCATAAGTTTGAGTTCGAGTAGTAATTTAAAAAAGAAAATTTGCGTAATTATACACTCTGGAAGGCAAATCAAAACTTTCACAAAACATTTAATCAAAATATTTCATAAAATGGATTTACATATAATTAAATATGTACATTAATGCGAACACATATAGAGAGAGATGTTATTTTTACAAGTCATTTTGTAGGTTAATTTTCTTAAAATTTCATTAAAATACACAAAAAATTATAATTTATAAGTTATTGAATAATTTATATATATTTCAATGCAGTAAAGAAATTACCAAATTTCCTTTCATATTTTACAATAGAAAATATTGTTTTATTGGTAGAAACCTGAGCGAAAGGTGACAAACAATTTCGAAAACTAAATTTTTAATATATTAATAGTGCACTTTTACTCTTTGTTAGCTGGGGGGTTTCCGCAGAGTCCCAACCATTTCACTGACTAATTTATGTATTCCTCATAAGCTTCATGATTATTCAATAACTGATCTAAGATCTGCGTACCGCCCCATGCGGTTAGTGTTTACTCTGAGATTAGATAGTGCTAAGTAGGGCAGCCTGTCGGTTTTCGCATATAGCTTCAGGGTTCTGTTCCTTATGTATTTTTTGACCGGATCTAATCTAAGGTCTCTTAGCTTATTTATTTTAGTTAAATTAAAAAATTTTATGTCAAATAATCTGTACGTTCTTAACGTTTTTAAAATGTTTTTAAAAAAGTTATTTAGTAAAAAAATGTATGGTACTAAAAACTATAGTGGGTTGTTATTCTGATTCCTCTGTATACAACTATATCTAAAAATATATAAATGATTAGGTATGTTTAAATCACCATCGTCATTCTAACTGCACACAGTTATTTCAATAAGATTTATTCCTTTTATGTTATATTAAATTTCACTCCACACTTCACTCCTTAACGTGTTTTGAAATAACTCAGATTTCCTTCGCTGGAATTGTTTGCTATATTAATATAGACACTTTTTTATTAAATTACCTTCTAACTATTGAATATTTTATAAAAATAAAAGTAATGCTATTTCCATACTTGTAAGCATAAAAAGGGTTGGCTGATATATGAAATACAATTACCAAAGTTTAAAGGGTACAAACAAGAAACCCACATCAGTTTTCTTGACAGTGAAGTTGTTGAAAAATTTACAAAATTTATTTGGAAGTGTAATATGAATGCAATCAGGACATGCAAAGGATTTACATTCCAGTAATTTTGTGTAAAAAAATAAAATGGCAATTACTTGTCAAAATATAAACTGAAGAAGGGTGTAACAATCACATTAAACATTTACCGGGATACCAAAAAATGATAAACACAACTAAAAGGGTTAGACATTTTGAAGTTGATATGTAATAATAGTAAATATAAATGACAAAATAGATATTTTCTATATATATCTATTCAGTATTTAATATCCATAATTAGTTTTTGATATAGTTTATTGTAAATAACAGACTAAAATAGAAAAAATTTGATAAGAAATGGGAAAAATTAAAATAATAGAAAAGAAAAAAACAAATTCAGTTTAAGTTATATATATATAACATTATGACGATAGTGGTTATAAAAATCTAAGTCACCTCAAGAAGTCTTCGTCATATTTATCTGTATTTTTCTACTGCCTATCAGTTATTGGTAGGTTTTCGTTCATCTTCTCTTACTTCTCTTCTCTCTCGGCTTCTTATATGACAGGATTACGCTTTTAATATTCTTGTAAGGGTATTGTTAGATTGGTTTTGAGTGTACGTCCTGCTCATTTAAGTTGACATATTTTATTTATTTATTTTAGTTTTTTTATACATAACAACGAATATGCCATTCATGGTTTGTATATATTGGACCAAAAGTCTTCTTGAGAAATTGTTTTTCAAAGATGTTTTATTCACTTCAGTGTATTGCAGACAACATGCAACTTTCAGCTATATCAGAAAGAAGTGGTCTTATAGGGCGATTGCATAGCTGACTGTAAGTTGCTGGATAGCAGTTTGCTTTTAAACTGTATGTCTCAGTCGTAACATATAAGATGAGTAGATAAGATACTTTTACTATTATATCTTAATATATGATATTACTGTCGTTAGTGTTTCATTTTAAGTATATAAAGTACTTAACTATCTTTAATTT